TTCCCAAATATTTTACTGATGAAACCAAAGTGATGGGCTCCCCATTACATTGAACATTAAAATTATTTACCCTTCTCAGTTTGTTTCGTGCCAAAGAGAATGGCTTCAGTTTTCCCTAGGTGTAATGATAGTTTGTTGTCTACTAACCATTTGCTGCAGGACTCCAGTTCCAGTGTTAAAACATTAGCAATATCTTGTGGGTCTTTACCTGACACTAACAGAGCACTGTCATCTGCATACAGTAGGGAGACACAGGTCAGAGAAATAGCAAGCATCGAACTTAAGCTTAAGGAACCTTATAGGAGTCAGGAATCGCGGGAAGAACTAAAGCCATAAATGAAATCGAAAGAAATCCAAAGTATTTCTTCTCCTATGCCGAATCAAAGTCGAGAACAACGTCCAGTATTGGGCCCCTACTTAAACAAGATGGGTCCTACACAGATGACAGCAAGGAAATGAGTGAGCTACTCAAGTCCCAATATGACTCAGTTTTTATAGCAAGCCGCTAACCAGACTGAGAGTCGAAGATCAAAATGAATGTTTTATGAGAGAGCCACAGAATTTGACTAACACAAGCCTATCCGATGTTATCCTGACGCCAAATGACTTCGAACAGGCGATAAATGACATGCCCATGCACTCTGCCCCAGGGCCAGACTCGTGGAACTCCGTGTTCATCAAGAACTGCAAGAAGCCCCTATCACGAGCCTTTTCCATCCTATGGAGAGGGAGCATGGACACGGGGGTCGTCCCACAGTTACTAAAAACAACAGACATAGCCCCACTCCACAAAGGGGGCAGTAAAGCAACAGCAAAGAACTACAGACCGATAGCACTAACATCCCATATCATAAAAATCTTTGAAAGGGTCCTAAGAAGCAAGATCACCACCCATCTAGAAACCCATCAGTTACACAACCCAGGGCAACATGGGTTTAGAACAGGTCGCTCCTGTCTGTCTCAACTATTGGATCACTACGACAAGGTCCTAGATGCACTAGAAGACAAAAAGAATGCAGATGTAATATATATAAACTTTGCAAAAGCCTTCGACAAGTGTGACCATGGCGTAATAGCGCACAAAATGCGTGCTAAAGGAATAACAGGAAAAGTCGGTCGATGGATCTATAATTTCCTCACTAACAGAACACAGAGAGTAGTCGTCAACAGAGTAAAGTCCGAGGCAACTACGGTGAAAAGCTCTGTTCCACAAGGCACAGTACTCGCTCCCATCTTGTTCCTCATCCTCATATCCGACATAGACAAGAATGTCAGCCACAGCACCGTGTCTTCCTTTGCAGATGACACCCGAATCTGCATGACAGTGTCTTCCATTGCAGACACTGCAAGGCTCCAGGCGGACATCAACCAAATCTTTCAGTGGGCTGCAGAAACAATATGAGTTCAACGATGAGAAATTTCAATTACTCAGATATGGTAAACACGAGGAAATTATATCTTCATCAGAGTACAAAACAAATTCTGGCCACAAAATAGAGCGAAACACCAACGTCAAAGACCTGGGAGTGATCATGTCGGAGGATCTCACCTTCAAGGACCATAACATTGTATCAATCGCATTTGCTAGAAAAGTGACAGGATGGATAATGAGAACCTTCAAAATTAGGGAGGCCAAGCCCATGATGACACTCTTCAGGTCACTTGTTCTATCTAGGCTGGAGTATTGCTGCACACTAACAGCACCTTTCAAGGCAGGTGAAATGCTGACCTAGAAAATGTACAGAAACCTTCACGGCGCGACATAACGGAGATAAAACACCTCAATTACTGGGAGCACTTGAGGTTCCTAAACCTGTATTCCCTGGAACGCAGGCGGGAGAGATACATGATTATATACACCTGGAAAATCCTAGAGGGACTAGTACCGAACTTGCACACGAAAATCACTCACTACGAAAGCAAAAGACTTGGCAGACGATGCAACATCCCCCCAATGAAAAGCAGGGGTGTCACTAGCACGTTAAGAGACCATACAATAAGTGTCAGGGGCCCGAGACTGTTCAACTGCCTCCCAGCATACATAAGGGGAATTACCAACAGACCCCTGGCAGTCTTCAAGCTGGCACTGGACAAGCACCTAAAGTCGGTTCCTGACCAGCCGGGCTGTGGCTCGTACGTTGGTTTGAGTGCAGCCAACAGTAACAGCCTGGTTGATCAGGCTCTGATCCACCAGGAGGCCTGGTCACAGACCGGGCCGCGGGGGCGTTGACCCCCGGAACTCTCTCCAGGTAAACTCCAGGCCCGGTGGCCTGGTGGCTAAAGCTCCCGCTTCACACACGGAGGGCCCGGGTTCGATTCCCGGCGGGTGGAAACATTTCGACACGTTTCCTTACACCTGTTGTCCTGTTCACCTAGCAGCAAATAGGTACCTGGGTATTAGTCGACTGGTGTGGGTCGCATCCTGGGGGACAAGATTAAGGACCCCAATGGAAATAAGTTAGACAGTCCTCGATGACGCACTGACTTTCTTGGGTTATCCTGGGTGGCTAACCCTCCGGGGTTAAAAATCCGAACGAAATCTTATCTTATCTTATCTTAATTGTGTATATATATAACCATTTATTATTTTATTATACAGTCCACAAATTTATATATTTACCAGCATTCCTGGTGTATGTATATTTCATTTAATTAATAGGTCCAGAGCAACTTGTGGATATGACAGTGGTAGGTATCGAAGGGGGACATTTTTTGCGACCTAAGTGTCCTAAATTCCTACTTGCCTAACTGATAAATAATAGTTATCATTGTTCATTTACTGTTATGTATATAATTATACATTCAGATAAATGCAATTTTCCACATAAATAAAGCCATAAAAAAGGAGGAATGTGATTTCTTGTACAGCTAATATTCGTGTAGCTGTATTATAATTAATATTCATGTGGTTTGTATTCAATTTTTTTCTTTTTGATGCTCAAGTAATTCTTTTTCATGTATTTGATTACTCAGGTCGCATAATCACATGCGCAACTTTCTCACATGAGGTAATTTACACACGGTAAACAAACATTCCTTTCTGCAGTATTACAACATGTAGTTTACATGTAATAGCATATTGTTAAGCACAAAAGAATGCCATTACCCACTAACATTTCGGCAGTATTGTGTAAAACAATTGTAAACCATCTAAAATTGCGCAAATTGTCTAGATAAACTTTCTTACTATTCAAAACAACTCACGAAATGGTTAAGACACACGTCAGTCTGGAGTTTTACGACTCACTGACCGCGAGTTCAAGTCCTACCCGTACCGTGGTTTATTAAAAGAAGTTTTTTACCCCCACTCCCACCTGCAAGACAGAAACACCAAAGGCCCCTGGTATAGAAATTCTGTCTCCGCCCCTGGTGAAACACAGGGGGTAGAAGCTGAGTACACTCTGAGGCCTGGTGGTCCTCAACACCACAAGTGTAGACTCCAGCCAGCACTGGAGTTGGAGTGCACATGTTGATCAGGGAGTAAGACGCCTGATTTTGTCCGTGTTTAGGTCTAGGGTCTACTTAAACTAATCTGGGAATATAATCTTCCCTTTTTTTTCGGAGGAAATTTGTCTTCCTTTCTCATTCCCACCCAGAATTGGACAATATTTTCCCCGGACTCCCGGGTGGAGTGCTTAATAAAGCTTCATCTTTGGTGACCCTTGATAACCCCAACAACAATAAGGCTGCACTCAGCATCCAGTAAGTTATAATAATACACAGTTTTCACTCCCATATATAGCAGGAATAGGCATACTGAAAGATATCATCACAGGCAATTTCATTTAAAAATGTTAAATATTAGGGACATCAACACCGTGGAACTATAAGAGGTGAGAAGCGTGGAAACAGAGACAGGGAACTAAAATGTCATGGTCACACTAAGTTTATTTAGGTACAGGTACACATAAGTATAATTATCACATAATAATTGCATTCGTTGCCATGACCTGGAAACAATATAACATTTTCTGTTGCACTGTTTTAGATGTTGCACGACTATAACTGGTGCACTCAAGACGAGAATAAACCTCTGGGTATACTTCACATTAGTGTTCACAGAAATATTTATTCAGATTTCATAGTATAACCAGTAGCTTGCAATGTTTTACTGACAGATTTGTTATTGACTTATAATAGTATTGTTTTACTTTTTTTGGTACTATATTGCTTTATTCAAGTTCGGTTTATAAATTTAGGGCCCACAGTGGGTCTGTGTCTATTGGGTTATCCTGGAATAAATCTACATAATGTACTTTATATGTACCCATAACACCTTCCAGACAAAAACAAATTGTTGCATATACAAAGCTTAAAGGATAACTAAACTTTTAACATTAATAAGTGATGCAGATTTAACATGTGTTATCCCAATAAAGCTAAGTACACTAGTATAATTTATTTCCATTAGAAATGAAGAATGATGATTGGTAATGATACCACGTTGACCATGGAAATATTGACTGGTACTTTCGTCACAGTACAGAGTAAATAATATTATCTTACATAGTAATAATAGTCTCTTAGCCTTATGATGTTACTCTTCCATGATGAGCTGTGTAACATAATTAGAGATTTGCCAAGAAACCTCTATGAGGAATTTTATCTGCATTATTTCCATATACTGTATTGAATTCTACACAAGAAACTTACACTTTTTCCTTTTGTTAAACATCATATTTCACATTTTGGGGAATATTTATAATTACATATCTATTAATTAGGTATCTGCAGTAGGGAATATACCTTTTTTTGTTTGGTACAGTACTTCATAGTCTTATCTTAGTGGAGACACAAACATGTGATCATTAATGATGATACTGTACTTCAACAGCTCTAACTTGTCAACATACAGGTGCCTCAGAACAGCATCCTTGGCCCTATGCTAATTCTCATTAACATCAGTGACCCCCAGTGCCTCTCAGGAACTTTAACTAACTCTGTTTGCAGATGGTACAACAATAATCAAATGATTACCAGAGAATATTTAGCTCCATTATATAGAGGAAACTAGACGAGAGTACTAAGAATAAGGGAATAAATGTGCTGACTATGCATACCTGGTTAAACATATAATTATTTGCAGAAAATGGTTAAGGGAAGAGAGAGAGTGAGATTACAGAGGAACAAGGTGGATTTAAAAAGGTAAGAGAATACCAAATACAATGAGGGAATATAAATGAGTTGCAATTAAATAAGGTAAAGTGTTGTTTGCTGCATTTGTGGATTTGGAAAAGGCATATGTTAGGGTGGATAGGAAAACAATATGGCAGGTGTTGCAAATGCATTGAACTTTTGTTATAGTGTTCACAGCAGTAAAGAATTTTCCTGAGAGAGGCATAGGTTAGGGTAACCTTTTTGAGAATATTTTCCTAAATTGTGGATAATGTTTTTTGAAAAATTCTCTTGAGTGCCCATGTGATTTTTGAGCAGCAAACTTTTTAATTTATATAAAGTATTATGGTTATTTTATGCTTTATACCATACTTTGTTATTGCTCCTGGTTTGTTTAAAATATAATTCACTCACTCTAATTTGGTGGTAATGATATAAACATATACAATCTTTATGCCTTCAGTTTTGTGTACAGTAGACTATCAGTTAAGATGCAGTCTGTTAGTACATTTTTGCTACATGATCACTGAAAAATTGCAGAATTTTTTTTATCATGTTTCCATGATGTTTATTTGTGATGGTGCAAATTTAGGGAAAAAATATAGAACACCATGGGAGTTTTCTCTGCTTTGTGGCCAGCCTATGGGTCAGGATGTTGTTGTTATGGGGGAGACCTGGTCACACTTAATGTCCACAACCTCTCATGCCTCAGTTCTCCATGCATACTCATTCCATACTATATTCAGCTTTGTGTCACTGACCATTTTTGATGTTTTCATCACCATATATTGTGTCTGGATAGTAACCATGGCAGCCAAGAGGAATGCATGTGATGTTGGAAGTGGCATGAAGCTTAGGCCTGAAAGTCATCATATTTTGAAAAAACCAAGATATTAGAAAAACTTAAGTGATGCACCTGTAGTGAGATAATGTGAGCCTGTGGTCTCACTGAAGCATCAGTTCATTCAATTAAAAGCAATGAAGAGAACATAAGAGCTTGTGCAATGAAAGGTGCACCACTTAATTTCATCTTAATAAAGAAAATAACCTTAGAGTACTCTAAAACTGTATGATGAGGAAAGAAGGCTTGAACAAGAGTGCATGTTTAGTACAGGCTGGTTTCACAAGTTCAAATTGCACAATCATTTGCATAATGGCAAGTTTTCTAGTGAAAGTGCTTCAGTTTGATAGGAATTTGATAGGAATTACCCTGCTGAATTGGAGGAAATTATTTTTGAGGGTGCATATGAGCCATAGCAAGTATTTATTGCTGACAAGACAAGCCTTTATTGAAAGAATTACCACTGAGAACTTATATGTTCTTCTCTTCCTTGATAATGTGAGAAATCACAAAAGCACTTGGAATTTCACTATTTTTTCACAGTGGTTGTTCTGCATATTGTTATATCACCTGTTTACTGTGATATCACAGTATGCAATAATTTATACATATTTGTATTGGTATGCTAAAAGAAAAAACTTCGGACAGCATTGAATACTGTGTGACAAGACAGTGTTCTCACATGCCACCTTGAACACACTTTGCATAAGTTCACCAGCCCTCACTTAGGGCACATAGGGGTGAAGTGGAACACAGTATTTTCAAGTAAAAGTAGGCCTTAGGCTTGTATGATGTCACCACAGTAGCTTACTTTATTTATAAAGGGGTGCTGTAAAACAAAGTGTGTTGGGAAAGGTGTAGTCTAATATAATGAAATATCTGTAAAATGGGAGTTGTCATAGTTACTTTTAGCTGACAACACAGTACTTTTGGGAGACTTCTATAGAAGTCTATAGGTGTGTAGACTTTGAGAGGATGTGTAAAAGAAAGTACAGGTCAACCGTCACTAATCCAGCATAACTGGGACCTGGAGGGTGCTGGATTAGTGATTTTGCCAGATCACAGAGTGGTTAGGTTAGAATACAATTAACCCAACAGCTGACCACCTCATCCTACCTTTAAAATACCCCGTAAATCAGAACAAGTTGGTTAATAAAATTAACCAACTTGACTTTCACAAGAAAGTTCATCACTGCTGCTTCCAAAGTGAAGAGCTGAAATTTATAACTAAGCACATTTACATGTCTTGAAATGAAGGGCTGTCAGGATTGCCATCTTCTTGGGGTGAAGGGCTGTCAGGATTGCCATCTTCTTGGGGTGAAGGGCTGTCAGGATTGCCATCTTCTTGAGGTGAAGGGCTGTCAGGATTGCCATCTTCTTGAGGTGAAGGGCTATCAGGATTCCCATCTTCATCTTGGAAGATAACTGAAATATCAGGAACTAATGATGACAGTGGCAGTACATCTGGGTGAGCAGATGTTGAAGGCATTAGATTTTCAAGTGGTGACTCTTCTGTTGCATGCTGTTTAGCTATTTTTTGGAGCATATCTTGCAAGTTGAGCTGTTTCATATATTTTGGCCTTTCTGTGATTAGTTTATCTTGCAGCATGTAAATGTTCATTATTTCTTGTTCACTTATAAAACTGAGTTGCTCTAGACCTTTTAGCAGTTTGCCTGTCATCTGAATTAACCTATCAATAGAGACTTTCTGCCACATCTTCCTCATTTTCATCACTGGTTTCTCCTCCATTGACTTGTTGCTGTGGACTGAAACCATCTGCACAATTTCTGAGTCGGTATAATGAACAGTAGCTACATCTTCATCTACATACATCCATTCCCCAAATTAGAAAATTTGAAATTACACTAACCAAAATTAGTGATGGAACTGGATTAGTGATTGCTGGATCAGTAATGGCCAGCCTGTATAAAGTAAGAATGGAAAAGAGCAAGGAGATAAGGGTAAGAAAAAATCTAGACCATGAAGGATTGTGTCAGATTGGAGAGGAGTATTAAGGAAATAACTAACTGAAGGGTGGGGAGCTCTTGATCTGAGAAATTGCACCTATCCTCCCCTTCCTTGAATCAAACCTAATTGCTTTCCATTTTCCTAGGTGCTGTATGACCCCCTACAAGTTTAGTGTTGCCCCATAAATTTAATAATAAGAATATTTTAGAGATGTTTTGGTAGACGGGTTTCTGATAATGAGGTGATTTACAAAAAATACATGAGCAAAAGTAGATCACTGGGATATTGAGAAGTGTGTGTAAGGAGAGAAATTTATCAGTGTATATACAGTGGAACCCTGGTTTTCGTCTTTAATCCGTTCCAGAAGGTCGGCCGAAAACCAATCTGTTGCTGTTCCAGATGAAGGTCTTGCAGCTCTTCAGTGGTTAGCATTTACCTGTGGGCATCCACCAACTCTTCCACATCCTGGCCACTCACCTCCAACCCCATGGACTTTCTTTGGCCCCATGGTGGCTTATTTAGCAGTTGCAAACACAAAAAACAAGGGTTTATTACGAAATTTTTTGGATGAACTCGCGGAGTAATGCTCACTGAACAAGTAACAAAGGCAGACTGAGTCACGAATGTATGAGCAGCCATGTCCCTTGGGCAGGCAGACGCATCTGGTACAGACTATTTCTGAGTGGATGCACAAAAACGGGGAGAATTTCACCGAAAAAAGTGGTTGAAAACTGAATTGTGTGATAACCGGACCAGACGAAAACTGGGGTTCCATTGTATATCCAAAAGTTGGAATATATCAAGAGTACAGTATAGTGGTGCCAATGCAGTACTTTATGTGGGAATAGACCTTAAATGAGGAATAGTCCTGAATGTTGCATCTAGGAGGCTAGAGGCAGTAGTGACATGTTTGAGATCAATGTTTCATGTGAATTTATTATCATGTAGAAGATAAGTAGTAAAGAAACTGGAAAATTGTTCAGTGGTATAATTCAAAAAGTTGCAAAGGGGCTGTTGAGATAGTTTAGTAATTTAGAAAGCACAAAGCAAGTTGGGTTAACCAAGTGGGTGGCTGGAAGGAAGGGTAGAGAATATCCCCAGATAGAATCAGAGGGAGTGTGGGTTTATCAGTCAGGGCCCCTTGAGCACCTAACTGTCATGTTGGAATGGTAAACCAGTTATTCAGACTTGAAGTTTGGAGGTGGAAGGTACAGTGCCTAAACTCTGGAGAATGAGAGGGGTTGTTGTATTTCGAGGGATAATTGGAATTGTAAGATTTGTGTTTTATTAGTAAATGGCTGATGTGTTATGAAAAGGACTACTTATATATCCATAGTCCCATAGAGTAGAAAGAATATATACACTAGCATCATAATTTAATTAAGAGTATAAGCTAAATTTTTTTTTTTTTTTAAACCTATTTAGTATCATAATTTAACCCGTAAATGGTTCAAGCAGATCTACGTTCACATGTGTAGTGCTACAAAAGTAGATCTACGTTTTTTTTTACATATTTTCAAATAGTATAGCCAAAAAAAAAAGTAGATCAAAGTTTTTTTTACACATTTTCAAATGTAAAAAAAAAAAAACAAAAAGATCTACTTGTTTTACATACTTTCAAGTGTTGAAAAAACGTATATATACGTTTGGACCGTTTACGGGTTAATTAAGAGTATAAGCTAAATATGTATTTTTATATATTTTGTCCCTTAAGTGAAGGGAAGGGGCACCTTGATGCCAGTGAAGGGCTCTTAATCTAAGGAATAGTTATTCTTCCCTTGTATCAAACCTGATTACCTCCTATTTCCCCAAACAATAACCCCTAAAAGCTTACTGGTAGTTCTTCCCCATGAATATAATAATAATGTAGTGGTATTTTTTTTGCATTCGCAGATACAGAATGAAGCCCAGCATGGTGGCTGATGAGATGTTCCCTGAGGGTGCCGGCCCATACATGGACTTGGACGAAGCTGGTGGCTCAGGGGGACTCTTAATGGACCTCACTGCAAATGAAAAGGCTGTTCATGCTGACTTTCACAATGACTTTGATGATCTCTTTGATGATGAAGATCTAAATTAAAACCAGAAGGACTGTGAAACTTAATTTCTGCATTTTCCCAACAAATGGATAGAGAATAAAATGAATAAAGTATGAAACATCACGATAATTTTTTTTTTGTCACCTGCATAGAAAATCTTGGCCATTTTCAAAAAATATATTCTAAAATAGCAATTCAGCTGGTATAAAAACTGGTGATGTCAGTATAATGGTAATGTGCATTTATATTAAGATATATGTACATGTATTTGCAAACTGCAGTTTGGTTAATTGTTTTAAAATATGTATTAGATTTTGGTAAAAGTACAGCTGTGCCCAAATGTTTTTATGAATGTACTTTGCTCTATCAATAATTTGTAAAACAACAGTAAGCTTATATTGCTATACTTAGTGCATCTTACTTTTTTCCCTCCTTGGAAAGTTCTGATCATTCAAGCTAACATGCCTATACAACCATATGCTCATACTTTCTCAAACACTTTCATTTTTGCTCACTTTCATTCTTGTTCTCATGCTATGGCCCTTGACACTTGATGTTATAAGCATACTTGGTGGGGAACAGAAGGGAACTGAGCAGTAGATTTCGGGTAAATTTCCTCGGATTCAGACAAAATGGAAACTAATAAATACAAACTTGAAGAAAGCACAACTTTATCAGTGAAAATTTCTTTGAAATATACTGAACAATTAAGTATATCCATGTCATCCTTATTTGTTTGACATATGCAACATATTTGAATATACTCCTGTACTGCTTCCTTGATGTTGGTGAGGGGCTCTTGATTTAGGGAATTGGATCTGTGCTCCAGTTTCCCAAATTAAGCCTGAATGCCTTCCACATCCCCCCTTCCCCCAGGCGCTGTATAATCCTCTGGGTTTAGCGCTTCCCCCTTGATTATAATAATAATAATACTGTACTGCTGCATGAAATTTGTATTATGGGTGTCCAGATATCAATAGTATACTGGAGGAAAAAGGTTACCGACAATGCCCTGACTGCAAAAATTAATTCAGCCTATTCACTGTACAAACATAAGCAACTTGCTTCCGACTCTTTCCATGCTCCTGGTTCCAGAAATCCGTCAAAATTCTGGAACCAGGGTATATCTTAGCCCCTGGAGTCAGGGGTATGTCTTACATATGAACATCAGAACATAAGAATGAAGGAACACTGCAGAAGACGTACTTACCCATACAAGGCAGGTCCTTATCAAAACCACCCCTACCCTAAACTATCCAAGAATTTACTCCCGTACCCATAACACCAATCAAACCCAGCCCTTCTCACTCGTATATTTGTCCAATCTCTTTTTAAAGCTGCCCATGGTCCTAGCCTCAATCACCCTACTCGGAAGACTATTCCACACATCCACAACTCTCTTTGAAAACCAGTATACTGTACTTACTGTATCTTTCTTTCTAAATCTAAATTTATCTAACTTAAATCCATTATTTCTGATTCTTACCTGGTTTGACACCCTCAGTACTTTATTAATATCACCTTTGTTTATCCCCATCATCCACCTATGCACTTCAATGATATCTCCCCTCAATCTACGTCTCTCCCGAGAGTGGAGATTCAAGACTCTAAGTCTATACAGGAGATTCCTTATACAGTGAATCATTTTAGTCATTTTTCTCTGTATCTTTTCCAATGAGTCTATATCCATCCTGTAGTAAGGAGACCAAAACTGATCGGCATAATTTAAATGAGGCCTCACTAGTAATGTACAGAGCTGTAAAATAACTTTTGGACTTCTGTTACTTATACTACTTCTTGAAATAAATCCTAGTAATCTGTTAGCCTTGTTGAGCACACTTAGGCACTATTGTCTTGGCTTCAGATTTCTGCTTACCATGACTCCTAAATCTTTTTCACATTCTGTATGATCAAGCTCTACTTCACCTAGTTTATAGCTTCGAGGGTTATTTTCATTTCCAAGGACTAGTACCTTACACTTATCCACATTAAACTTCATCTGCCATTTTTCAGACCAAGGCATTAATTTGTCCAAATCCTCCTGGAGTTCATTGGTATCCTCTGCAGAATGAATCATATGGCCTATTTTTGTATCATCAGCAAATTTGCTCATGTCACTTGTAATTCCTTCATCAAGGTCATTAATGTAAATTATATGTCCTTGACAACATTAATTGCTTAGTTGAAATATTTTAGCTTAAAAAAAAAAAAAAAAAAAAAAAAACTACCTTAGCTCATTATTTTACATTTGTTAAATAATTCAGGTGCTATTTTTTAGCTTAAGACTATTTACTTTGTTTTATACTTAATTCTAACTATAGATTCACTACAAATCTTATGATTACAAGCATTGATCCAGATACCAACCTCTTATTTAATGACTTAAATGAATCAAACAGTTACTGTAATTACTACACTGCAGAACAATCAAAGGCACTTCTCAGTGCCAACAACAACATAACTATCTTTAACTACAATATCAGATCTTTAAGCAAGCATTACGATGACCTCATGGCATTACAAAATTCCTTACTGCCAATTGTCCATCTTACACTACGAAACCTGGCAAAAGCCTGAACTACGATGTCTATCCCATTCCTGGTTACAGCCAAACAAGTGGGCCGACCAAAAGGGGGGGGAAAGCCATATACTATCAACCAACAGAATGTTCACAAATACTTGACAAGAGATGAACATGGGGAAATATAATGCCAAATTCAATCCAAATACCTACGAAAACCTCACTTGATAAACATCTACGGGTTTCCCACAGTAAAACCCATTGCCAATTTAGTAAAAAACCAGGAAGTATGATAACTGATGCACGAGAAAAAAAATCATTATACTCTCAGGTGATTCAATTAAATCCTGCAAGCCCAGGCCCACCTTATTGAATTCAAAAACAAAATGAGTAACGTATTTTGCAAACCAAACAGTAAAAAAACCCTACAAGATTTAGAGACTGTGTTTCCCTACTTGACCACATCGGGCCAACACCATACCCCCTTTTAAAAATCGGGCATAATTACAAAAATCCCACAACCACTACCCTACTTTCCTCATAAAAAATCTTGGTAAATTCCCCAAAAGACATACTAAATCCCCTTCGACTTCACAATGAGGAGCCTTTAAAACTCACAACAGCTTAGCAAACATTGATTGGCACACTGAGAGAAATCAATAAAAAATTTTGCGAATGTTTTAATAATTTTCAAAAAAAGACTCAATACCTCTATAACAACCCACTCCCCCTAAAAAAAACTAAGAAGAGACAGCTAAGAACTAAACAGTCCCTGGCTAAACCCAGCATTTCAAATCCATAAATACAAAACACCAATATGAAAAACAGTACAGAAGGGGTAATAACCAAGACCAAACAAAACGTTACTCGTCAATCCAAACCAGGCCAAAAAGAAGGGCAAAAAAATTTGATTATGAGAAACATTATCCAACTTACGAGGTGATATAAAAAAGACCTGGAAAACCCCTATCAGAAATTCGGGGAACAAAAAAGATATCACGAAATAGCGAAATAAAATTAGCAAAATCAGATGAACCCAACTCCCCCAACGAAACAAAAACGACTCAATGATTTCTTCTCCATAAGGACAAAACCTTGCCCAAAAAATCCAAGCTCAAAACCCCCCCAAAGATACCCACCGGAATACCCGAAACATGTTTTGCTCCGAAAACCCATACGAAGTCTCCCTTATATCAACGCACTAAAAAAAAAAGGGAGGAATTTAAATTTCCTACCCCCCTTTTTAATACAAAAAAGTGTCACAAGTGCTATCACCAAAAAATTTCAAAACTCTTTAAAAAAATCCCTTTAATCCTCCACCTTCCCTACTACTCAAAATAGCAAGGGTCACCCGATCCCCAAAAGGGGAGACCCAAACAGAGTTGAAAAACTTAGGCCAAATCCCAAATTACACCCTCTCCAAAAATCTTCGAAAAATTAATTTTTAAACGAATCTACTCCTACCTTATCTCCCAAAAAAATTTCAACCCTGCCCAATTTTTATTCAGGCCCAATAAAAATACTAATGATGCTATTTTACACATGTAGAACAATATCACGCAAAAAGAAAAAAAAGAAGTCCCATGGGGCTTCATTGACTTCGTAAAACTTTTGATAAGTTGACCATGCTTCTCCACGAAAAATTTTCACACTATGGATAAGAGGGCATCCCCCCAACACCCAATATACCTTGCAAAAGAAGCCAAATGTGTACGCAAATGGGGCAAACTCTTCTGCACAACCAATTAAGTTGGTTCCCCCAGGGAAGTGTCCTTTGGGCCCCTCTTCTTTTCCTTAAATAAATGACCACCAAATCTTCTCAATTACTCAAACCCCCCCACTATTTTCTGTGACACAACATACCTTCTCCCCCCCCGAGCCCGTCACGCTAGCAAATACTGTAAATACCGAAAACAGAAAAATCTACCTGGATGATCTAACAAACTTACACTAAAAATTGACAAAACCCCTTCATTCAGTTTGGTAACAGAGTAAGATGCCCTTTAACTAATGAAAAACGGGGGTCACCTATCACAAAGCTAACAAGGGGAAAAATTTTTAGGAATCCACCTTTAAATAGACCAAATTTCATACAAAATACAACAAAATTTTTAAAAAAATTTCCAAAACTGTGGGGATACTATCGAAGTACCGGGACTATGCTCCACATCAGCCCTCCTGGCCCTATATCATCTCTTATTTACCCCTATCTCACCTATGGAATTTGGCATGGGGCTCAACAAAAGTAAACCCTCTCAGACCCTAATTACCCAACAAAAGGCTGCAGTTAGAAAGATAACAAATTTCATACGGACACACTCCACCAATATTCATACACTCAACCCAACCCCATACAAAACATCCATACTTATTACTGCACCCATTACTAATAGAACACTCAACTCTGATATTAACCCTCCCCCCAAACTCTCCTTGCCAACCTCAACAGAACACATGACCATAACCAAGGGACAGATCACCTTTGATATTCCTCGTTCCATCTCACTCTATGCAAAAACTCAATGCACATAAAGGCCCTAAAATCTGGAATTCATTACCTGTAAATATAAAAGAAACACTACCTGTTTAAAAAATTCAAGCC